GTGTAAAGGTTGGCAAGGGAGACCGAAAACAATAAATGATGTGTTTCCATGATCCCAATTCGGTTTGTCATGTCTTGCCTTATTCCTTGCCCTATAATAGTTCAAGGGGGTCTGGTGCCGTCAGATGACTTGCTTGGGGGTTATCCTCACTTATTTCTAACCAATTTTCAAGTATTTCACTTGCCTTAATCTTGACTCGGAGAGAAATTCAAGACCATTGGGGCAGCCCATCATAACTAGCTCTAGCGCAAATGGTTAATTAGGAGAGCAGGTACGAAGACTCGCATCCCTGCAAGATAAGACCCATGGTTGCTCCCTTGGGCTCAGGGGTATGGGTGTGGTTGTGGGTGAAGCGCAATCCATCAAGGCGGGCGATGCAACAGTCTAAAGGGAGAAGGCTTCTCATATTCACGAAAACTTCCTCCCATAATTGATCTTTGAAACACTTTATTTATGCTAGCAAAAGAACCAATGAGTCAATGGGAGAAAAAATACCATGCTCCCCTAACTCAATAACCATGAGTTAAGACCCTTGATGTGGCATGGATCCTTGCGATATGTTGCTTGAATTAGATAAGCTAGACTTCGTAGCATGGAACTTGTGCAAAAACAGGAGATTCTAAGTGAGATCGGCATACTTTGCAGAGTGTCATAGCCAATATGGACATAAAGTATCAGGAGAAAATACAGTCGGACGCTCATGCAATTCACCAATATAGGGGATAATCTGAAGTTTAAGTTGTCTTGCCAAGGTTTAAATTTTCCTCTAGCGAACTTTGTGAGGATCGCTACCATGTCGGGTGACTTTGGCTAACAAACATATAAAAGCCAGTGGGATATGTCCTACGTGCGGTGTAGGAGCGGAGGATACCAAGCACCTGTTATTCACTTGTGCAAAAGCTAGATAGGTATGGCAGCTACTGGGTTTGGACTTTGTTATTGATAAAGCATGCGATGTGGATCATGCGAGAGAAGTTGTGCTAGAATATTTATTGCTACAACCAGCTGAAGAATAGGTAGTCTACGGTCTGGGAAATTCAATGGAAGCAATTGCTATTGGTTCCTGGTATTTATGGTGGGAGAGGATAAAGTTAGTGCATAATGAAAAGGTCCAGGAGCCTACGTTCATAGCAATGGCAATCAGAGCTTTGGTTGCTAACTATACTATGACGAGTGATGCAAAGCCGGCGATCAAGCAACATGGCTGGGAAAGACCAATGTGTAACTATGTGAAACTAAACGTGGATGAGGCTTTTGACCCGGACTAACTCAGGGGCTCGTATGGTGTTGTCATCAGAGACTTGAATGGCAGATTCGTCGCGGTAGGAAATGGGGAAATCGATCAGCGCGGAGATGCGCTTATGGTCGAGGCACTCGTCTTACGGTTTGGTCTCAGTTTGGCAACTACAGTCGGGTGTAACCTCATAGAAATGAACTCTGGCAACATCGAGGTGATAGAGACGATGAAAAATGGAGGTCATTCTTTCGGTCTATCAGCGGCAGTTTTTGATGATATATATCACCTTTGCGTGTGATTTCCCGCATATTATTTTTTGTGCATACTCCTAATTATGCTTCCCATGATTTAGCCAAACTAACTAGAAGTAAGGTGTGTGCTGGGCGGATTGATGATCCACCCGTAAAGATTGTTGATCCTCTTGTAAAAGATAATATGGTGATCACCTTGCAATAAAGATTTCTTTGATGTCTAAAAAACCATGAGTCAATACTCTGATTGGTCCATGTCCTTTCTTTCCACGCACGGCATCCCATCTGTGTTGTCATGTATCCCCCTTTCCACCCGCGCTGACGGTGGCCTAAGATCTCACACAATCACAATGCGTTTGAATGTTGTCAATCCTAAGGTGTCTCTCTCGTGACATAAGATGAGAAATCTACTTTTTTCTGTTAGGTTTTGGCGAGGCATGCATGCATGGTTATAGATGGTTTTTTCCTCTCCAATCTTGATTTTGCTAAGGTGTTCAGTTCCAATATGGATCAGTACTAGTATGAAAGAAAAATGGATCATGCGCTATTGATTAAATTGCACCCAAAATAGCATTTTTAACATGTAAAATAACATCGTATTAAAATTATACACATTTTTCTGATCAAATTCCATATATGACAAGTTAAATTTGGAATCAGAGTTTAAAAGACATAGATATTTTCAAAAGCATTTAATATGTATTGCAGTTGATTAACCTAATTATCATAGGGTTTCCAGCAAAAACGAAATATAACTTAAAACTAACCTACGGGTTTATTGCCAGAAACGCCTGGTAGTTTCTGTAAAAGTGAAAATTGAAATTAAAACTAGACCACATGATTATCAGAAAAAATCTGAAGGTTTTCTGTGACGAACCAAGATAAATTTATTTATTATGGTGTCTCTACTACCTAAAAGGCCATTTCCCGTCTTACGTCCCCGGATTGTCCGACTCTCCCACGCTCGATCTCCCTCCCACGTCAGGTTTTTTTCCTCCGGTTTATTCCAATCGATATTTTTTCCCACGAACCAATTATGTTACAGTAACCCCACAAGGCGCACGTCCCCATCTCTCCCGAAAATCCCTCTCCTAACCATAACCCCTAGCACCCGCGCCGCCGGTCCTCCCTTACCGCCACGCTGCTGATGGTTCATCCCAAACCCTCCGCCGTCACCAACACTCTAGCCCACGCCGCCAACTACAGCTTTCACCACCATGGACGTCATGTTTGTTGGCCGTCGCCACAACCGTTTAGCAGCATGCTGCGGCCGCAGCCATCTACCAGAAGGTCACTGCCGCTCCAAAGGGCACCGCCTCCCTGTGGCCGTCGCGACAACCATCTCGTACTCTCTTGCGTCGCTGCAGGTCGCCGCCTTTTGCAAGCCGAGAGTGAAACTGACGAGGAGCAGCGGCCGGCACGTCGTCTATTAATTGCTTGAGAGGTGAGGCTTAGGCTGGTCATAGTGGGAAGTAACTTATACTAGTGTCATACATATAACACTAGTCTAAGTTACTACCTTCATAGTGTAAAGTAACACACTAGTAGTGTCATAGATGAATTTATTTATTAGCTAATAGATTCGTTTTGTCTTGGGAAGCGCTATGTTACAGTAACATATATGTTACCATAAGCACCTCTTTCCTCATTAAATACTTTCCAAATAAGCAAAATTATCTTGGGATGTGTTAAATTACTATCTAAGTTATCTAAGTTATACTGAACAAGCTGGGCCGAACGTGCTGTCGTTTTGGATCATATAGAAGTTTGGTATTTCTCTCGGTGTGTTGGTAGATGGAACAATGCAGTAGTGTGGAAGAGGCGGAAGAGACTGTATACATAGGTCCCATTGGCCTGGAGATGTCAGCATATCTGGCCAAGCAGTCCACAGATGGCTCGTCGTTCAAGTGGCAGAAGCCCAATCTGGCCATGAGAACACGTTGCGCGCGTTGCACATAGGATGATGGCAGTCCCTTGGTAACTTTAGCAATTTTTGCACTTCGCCGCAGCTGATCTTCCGGGGTGGAGATGCGCGCACGCTTCACACGCTGGATAGTGGGAAGTGGAAGGAGAGGATCTGATTTTTTAGGAGGGAAAGTAGCGGCTGAGACAGCTCGGTGCATCCCCGTTGCACCCCAAATAAAAACATAGCAAAACTTTCAAAAAAAAGTTGAAACTTCGTGGGAATGATTACGAACAATTTTTTTTATACAGAGCTCCTCGGATGTCATTTAACCACCAAACGTTCCAAGCACCTATAATATTTGTTCATAATCATTCCCATAAAATTTCAAAGTTTTTCGAGATTTTTGCTATGCTTTTGGGGGTGTAGTGGGGTGCACCGAGTTGGGGTGTAGAAAAATCACTCTTGCAAATAAGCAATAATTTTGATTTAGAGGTACAGTCGCCGGCTGCTCATGAGGACTTGAGGTTGCTCTTGAACTTAGTCTCATCAGGGTTTTAGTAGGGGAGGGGGGAGAGAGAGAGATCGCTGCAGGAGAGAGAGGGAGTGAGAGAACATAAAAAGCAATTTGATTGAGACAATGCAACGGGAGAGAGGAGGGAGGGAGAGGGCGAGAAAAGGGGTCACAATTTGATCTTGACATAACAATAGGAGAGGGAGAGAACATAGAATGCAATTTGATAGTGAGATTGCAACGGGAAGGAGAGGGGGAGA